TAGGGACTATTACCTACATTAATATTATTATATTATAAATGTATGGTGAAGAAAGGTCTTAAGTTTTGGAAGATTTGGAACTTTGGAAGGGTCCCTTACCTGTTTTCTTTTGAACCCTATAATTCATATACGTAGTACCTACGATTATTTACGTAGTATTATATACTTATACTACGAGTAACATATTTTCTTGTTTTGCTATAGTACTAAAAGCAATACAAGTTTAATTAATTTATAAATTATACGTATGTATACGTATCTAAGACTATGATTTCATATAATTACAAGTGGGATACCGGTTTTACTATATCTCCTTTGAGCTTGACACGAGTTTATGTAACCTGTGTTTTAGTAGTTGCACAATGGCTCGGAATATTTCCACAATTACTCTAGTTGTTTATGTATCAATCGATGTGCCAATATGAATTGCCTTTAATTCTATTATTAAGACGTACATCAGAAAAATATTTTATAGGTAGGTAAATGCCACTCCTATTCTTTTTTATTAGGATAGATAAAGAAGAAACAGAACGTGCCCGTCAGCCATATGTGACCTACAATTAAACTACACAAAATCCAGGAATCATTCATTTCCTCGAAGGATCTCGGCGGTCAGGATTTCAATACTAGAGCAAAATTACAAAATATCTTTGTAACAAATACCTACATAATGAACGTGTAGAGTTCATAATTATTACAAAACCAGCTGTTAAGTGCGGCAAAAACAGAAGAGTGCGAGTCCTCTATATTTATAGAGGTTAGTCTCAGAGTTAAGTGGGGCAACCGGTAGTAAAGAATAGTTCAGTTACACAAAACATAAATAAAAACTACATAAACTACAGAACAAAGAAACTATTCTTTTTTTGAAGTTGTTTAATTTGTGGCATTTAGCTGATAGTAGATATTATTATGTTGTTTTCAAATGTAGGGAATTTTCGGATAAGTACGCGTTTTATATTTGCCATTATCATTACAGAAAACTGTAGGTGCGCCTTAATAATTACTAGCACTATGTGTTGTTGTTGTATGCTAGCTACTAAAATTCTATGGATTTTTATATCCAAAATAAAAATGATTTGATTTGATTACTAAACTTCTATAATTCTTGACAAAAGTCACATATTTTGGCATTCAAATTGTCCTATGATGTCGTAAATGTCTCTAACTAGTTTTAATGCCTATCGACTAGTATTATCTACGCATGATCTGACGATTGTGACGTCGGACTACCGACCGGAATTTGTAGACATTAAAGATTCAAATGTGAGGGTTATAAATGTCCATTAATTAGTATGATCAGCCTCGCCAATTCTAAAGTGAGTGGGATTTAAGTATCATATTATCATACTGTTATAGTTATTTTTTAAGATGTTCAGACTCATCTTAATTCGAAAAAGTACGCGATTGCTTTAACCTACATCTGTTTTCCAACTAAGTCTGTGGAATAAGTATGCAAAACTTTTTACGTAAACATAAAATCAAGTTAAAATTTCGAGATAACGTTTAGCATAAATTCTTTGCAGAGTTGTTATCGCTTCGGAATGTATCTTAACTGCTTACAATGTAAGCAATTGTTTGTGTTGGACCGTGCCCTTTGTAAATTACAGAAATAACTTAAATTCTGAACTTCTTGGATTGGTTCAAAAGTTAAGAAAATGTCGATAGAAAAATATGAATAAAGAGAACATCGTTATTGATATACAAACTGCTTTTTTTCCAAAATATTAACAATTTAATAATGAAACTTGCTTTTTTATTATTTTACGGAATTGCTATTCAGTCTAAGGATTGACGTATACAATTATTATCTTATTGATACTAAAACTATTAAGCACGTACTTTACTTCATGCAAGATGAAGAACATTATTACTTTACGAGTCGAACTCGAAACTTGTGTTCATTCTGTATTACTCAAAAATATAAATATAAACACTCTTTCAGTTGTCTTTTTACGAAATAAACGGGTAAAATCACCACCTGATTGTAAGCAATCAGCTTCACTTATAGGCAACGGATACTACTACTACTTCCATACATTATGAGATTTTTCGGAAAAATTAGATAGCACATTAGCACAAGCATACTTAACACATTAATACATAAAGGTATAGGTAGGATAAAGGTTCATATGTAACGTCCCGCTCCGTAAGCATATCTGCCTTAGAATCCTATCATCATATCCTAGTATCCTAGCCCATTCCCGCGCTATTTCGTCAAACCAACAGCTGAAACACTCATGAACGAAAGATTATGGCGGAAAATGTCATTAACTTTGTTATTAGCTTCGCGGCTGTGGCAAAGTTGAGAAATAGTGAGGCATTTCTGTATACTTATACAAAACTAAGCAAGTATGAAGTTAAACTTCTAGAACTTACATATTACACACTTCGAAGTAAATTCATTCAGTACGAAATGTTTCGCAAAGCGCATTGCTTTTACGTAAATGTGTATTAATCCGTAGTAATTCATTGGTACATCTTTATGCGTGATTGAGCACCAATATACGCTGCAATGCAGCCGTACGTGCAAGCAGAAAATGATATATATAAACTGCATTCATATGCATAATTATGTATGTCGAAAGCTTCTCCAAACACTTCAATTTTAAATATTTTCTAGTCTTATTTATCGATTTCCAACAACTATGTTACTCTAACTATGTCATAGCTGTTTTATGTAATCGAACCATTATTATGAAACTTTTTGATTTAAATTTATGCTCATCAGTGACTATGTATAGAATATTATAGAATAAAATTTCAAAATGTAAGTCCATTAACTTTCTTAAACAGAAATTCGTTCGATTCAAGTAGCCGTAGTTATTAGCATTGGACTTTGTTTTTTGTGATTGCCAAGTCTTGCAAAATAAGGAAAAAGAATTTTGTTGCCTTTTTTTGTTAATGTATAGTGCAATATCGCAGTCGTTAAATATTGACTGCAAATCACTATCAAGTTGAGCTGGCTTCCTTACCATTAGTGCCACAAGCTAATTTTAAAAGTAGGTAATACTAATGTTAATAGAATACCTAGTCACTCTACATTCTAACTATCTGTTACCTAAAATCAGTATTTCGTCACTTTGATTATAATTTAAAATGCAACGAACTATTTTCTGCTGTTCACTTATATCAAACATTATTCTGTTAATATATGTTATGCAAAACAAAAATATAAATGTAATATGTGAGCTTGAAATACATAACAGAATCAGATGGGCATTATAACCTAATTTTTAATCATCAAACACGTTTCTGTTTTGATTACAAAGTACCTAACAAACTAATTGCGTTAGTTGTAAAATGTTATGAAGCTCATCAGATAAGGGCATCCAATAATAGAATTAGAGATTACACTAATTTATTTTGTGATTAATACCTGTGTTAAAGCAATGATTAACTCAATTAAAGAAACATAAACATTCAAAATATGGCTATAAACACAAAAATAAAATATCATTAGAAACTACTTTTGATGATGTTTTTCCTAAAATTTCCTAAGTACCTTTCCGTCAGGTTATTTCTTCTTTAAATAAAGTACCTACCTATATTGTATATTTTATTTTCAGATAACACTTTGTTAGCGGAAATTCGGCTGATTGCAGACCACCGTCTCTCTGTGATAAAATCTGTTTATGTGGTAAGTCATTTCATAAATTTGTATCTTTGGTTATAAATATACTTTAGGAATTAGGAAAACATAAGAAAAACCTGATCTCGTCTTTATAAATATATCACAAAAAACCCAAGACGTAAACATTATGTAGATACAAAAATAATATTATATTTATAAGGCCTAAGAATAAAATTTGTATTAAAAACGTATGGTAAAAGCAAAGCAACTAGAAGAAGTCTGGTATTTTTTTATGAAGAAAGAGTGACAATTGACCATTTTCTCATTTGCCACTCACCTGATAGTAAGCACTCGGGACCCCATTGTCACCAGTATCATCAGGCGTCGCAGTCTTGAGGATTGGTGATGAGACGAAGGATTGGGCCTCCGGCGACCTTACCCGTACAGCAATCGACACATTGCAAGCTTTGATTCACGCCAGTTTTCTGTATAACTGTCGTATCACACTGTGCCGAAGTATGGCTCTCCTACACCTTACCTAACTCCATGTATAATATCTGGTTAATTACCTAATAGAAACATTCTAGTAGCTTCAAGAAAAAGCCTCCTACCTTAGTAGATTCAACCTTGAACAATATTTTGTTTGTGATCTTTTCGTCATAAAAAAATATTGTAATATATTATTAATCCGGTTCAAGCTATGATAAATCAATCTAGTATTTTTTATGACGTGAAACTTAACGATTCTCATAATATTAAAAACATGTACCTATGTTTAAGTGTAGGTGTTTAAGTGCATCAGTACTCCGATTTAATAATAAAATACTCTCATGAAAACAATTAGGTACTTAATCTCATGTTTCGGGATTAAATATATAAATAAATGCTTGTTGACAAAATATATAATATCCTTTACACTCGTAACATACGAAAAAAATGTAAATAGGAACTACAATTCAAGTTTTAATATTTGGTTTACCAGGGACAAGGTGAACCACTGTTTTTGTACAAAAATAATATTTGTAAAAATATAACATTCTAGAAGTTTTGTTTTAATTTATTAGCTGCGGATTTGTTTAACTTAAGAAATGTTATTTATTTAAAATCTGTACTAAGTAGTGGAGGATTCCCGTTTGGGGGATGGGTATTACTATTTTCGCGGTGCAAACGTTTCGTATTTAGTAAATCATTATAGCAAAACGTCCAATAATACCAATCAGGACTAAACTAAAAACCAATCGTTAAACTAATTTACTGAACAGCCTCTTCCTATGTTTACGAAGGTGGAGTACTTCTTAACGTCCGGAAATAATAGAGTGGTTTACTTGGCAAATGGACATAACGAGAGGTCGAGGGTCAGATATAATAGTTGGTGCTAAGCACAATGACGTTTGTGTGACGCGACAATGTGACGCAGAGAGTTTGTAAAGACGAGGGCGCGATGGTCGGGCAACGGCAACGCGCGCGCATGTCAGTCAGTGTCCGCGGCGCCGGTGGACGCCAACACCTGCGCGTGCACATATATCAACAACGCGAAAGTCGACCTGCTTGCTTTTTATTATTTGTATTCACGCGGTGTACATAACAGACACGCTCCTATAGAAAGGATAGTATCGTCCTTTCGTTGTTCCACGCCCGATTTACTGAGCATCCGTACACGTAAGTGCTATCAATAAAATTGTGATTTAATTCAATCTATATCAATGCAGATTTCGTTCAGTTATTCAAGAGAATGCCACTGAAATGATTAAGATTTCAAGTTTACATTTATAATGTAAGAAATGTAAATAGTTCTTTTTTTTTCTTTTTTTTTTCGTACCTAGATAGAAAAATTCAAAAAGCGCTTTTAGACATATAATTATTAATTAATCATGTTTTTGTAATCAAAATTCACGAGATTTTTATATCATATCAACAGTGAACAGATTTGTTAAATATCCCAATGACTTCTCTAAAAACGTTAAAATGTTCAAAATAATATTATATTAATTCGATTTCTTTATCTTAAACATTCATTTAACCATAAAAAAAACTAATTCACGGTTAAGACATTTTATCTGTCTGGTTTCGCGTAACAATCTCGTTTCAGTTTAAATCACAGACTGTATCAAAGGTGATGCAATTAATATTAGCTTCCTCGTTTGATGCAAGTAGAGTAATGCATGTATTTGTGTTACACATCTGTGTACTTGCCATATTGTTAAATTTAACTACAATTTCACGTAAATCATTCAAGTTTTTTAACTTATAGTCTGTGCAAAAGTATGTTAGTCGGCCATACCGGTAAATTACAACATTTTGATGAAGTGTTGACCTTTCTTTAAACCAAGAAGCGTAATATGCAATGCGAAATTCTCCGACAAACTTATTTCGAAAAAAATTTACAATAAATTCGATTAAGTATTGGGGTTCATCAGGGTTGTTATTGTTCCATGATAAGTTACATAAATGAGAGACCGACAAAGATTTCACGAGGTTCCTATCTAATTGATCATCGCTGCATATCGATGAATTTACGCAACGCTGCGTTCGCGTCGCGTCGCCGTCGTCTGCGGTTCCACTTCCACATTGCTTCGTCGACAAGCTAGAATTGCGATGTGAACGGTGTTGGAATCATCGAATTTCATTATCTTTTCTAATGAATCATTTCAAATGAATTTTATTTCCCCATGGTCAGCTTTGGTTTATTGATTTCCGTTATCGCATCGTACATTTAATCTCATTATTTTGATAATGCACTCCGATTACATTTTTATTCGTTATATTGTTATCGTTAACCATTGTAAATATACTTATTTGAATCATAAATAAAATATTCACCATAAAGTATCATTACATTAGTACCTTGGAATATGAGGAAACGAGTATGTGAATTTAAATGAGTCGAATGTTCTAGTTCCTTACTGATCTTGAAACAGTCAGAGTTCAAGGAATAAGTTCACTGGATAGTATTTTCACATATATTTTTATTTGCCAACACTTCAATCGTGGTTCTTAACCAATGGTACTAGAAACGTGATATTTCGTTGATATTGTTTATTGAGTCACGTTTGCCAACTGTCATTAAAATATTTATTGTCTGGCGTGTACTTGCAAATTCACAAAACTACAAAAAAAGACATAAGCGCATAGCTTAATAGATTTATTTAAGTCTTTATTGTACACATGTGTCATTTATTTACAGTAATGTTTATTTCATTATGTTCATAATGTCATGTTGCTTGTTTATTTTTTGTCAAGAGCAGTTCAAATTACGGGCATCTAAATGTAGACGATAGGTAAGCTCGTTAGCTAATTCAGTTACATCCTGATCATTAAAGCATTTTCCTACACTCGATAAGTCGATATTAAATAAGAGCTAACCAAATTACCTCAATGTTTCTGTAATTAAGACTAATATCATAGTTTATTAAATGTTTATATATAATGCAATATCAAGAGTGCACAGTAAATCATTGTGCTATTATGCTCTAGGTTAGATTGTCATTATAACCACCCGTATTAAGGAAAATTAAAGTTCTTATAAAATATTTAAAGACAGGAATGTCCGCATCCATTTGCGGCAATTGCACAGATTGTGCGCGTTCATACTATAATTTTCATGTTTGCTTAATACGGTTAATCGTCTTTCCAGACTGTTCTTGTAGTTCTAGTACAATGTTATTCGTGTTAACTAGTTTTTACAACATTGCACACCGAGGTGAAACTTTTTTTGTAAATAAATATTCAAAGGTTGCATTAAATTTCATAATGCAACTACTTAAATATAGTTTTGAGTGAAGTGATATTTTCAAATGCGACTTAGTATGTGCGATATGTTCGTAAATAAAAATATCGCAACAGTTAAAGCTGGCAGGATGGTTGTCGAATAGTGGTGTGTGGTGCGTACGAGTCTGTGGCAGTGGGTCAGTGGTACCACAGGGCGCGGGCGCGGACGTCTGGCGCAACACCCTTACGTAAAACTGCGGACTACGGACCGAGGCCCGGTGAAAGTTGTGACTGCTTCATAGAACACTCGAGACGAAAACGTTTACGGTCCCCTTGCCATGTGTAAACGGTTTTTCCTTCTAGAAGGATAAACATGCAATTAATCGACATTGATATTAATTATCAGTTTTTTTAGACGGTTCTACAACAGTAAACATTTTTTTGTATTCGATATTCATTCCTTACTAGTTAACGCGATACTGGTTTTAACTTGATACAGGTTTTAGGTGTGACGAAATAAGATAGATGGATGTATCAATTCTTGAGACATTCAGGATGCCAACTAAGTTTATAAAAAATCAAAAGGTCAATAGCCTCGCACTTGTATTTGGATAGATTTGTTGTCTTTTAAGCTGAGGCTACCCTTAGAGAATACAATCGAAACAATGAAGCTTACGCAGTGGTAGGTATGATTAATTAATAATCTGAAGACACTTTAAATAACGATTCTGCAATACAAACTCAATCAAATTATTTAACATGAATAATTTATTGATTTGTAAATTTTTATTATAAAAATAATGACGTTACTTAGGATTACTCAAAATATTTTAGAATAAAAAAATAATTAGATTCAATGAATAAATAACAATGTTTTATGAAAGCCTGTTTTAAATGATGAAGTTATGTAATAGTTTTACTTGCAAATGGGTAATCGGGCTCAAGTGTATGTGAGTGTAAGTGAATTTTGCCGTGAAGAGCAGGTCAAGGTCGGCTACAATAGGCGGTTGTGCAACAGCTGCCTGCAGCTCGCTGTGTCGTGTCATCTCGTTCTCTTCAGCCACTACCGGCTCGCACAGGCGCAGCCGCCATAAGCTACGCTTATGCGATTTATTTCACGGTCATGATTTATAATGATCATCAACCTTGCCACCTGCCCTACCCGATTATTATACGGGTACATGGTGCCATATCATTGACGTCTTTTGCATCTAATTTCCCCTGATTGTTTGCTTTAATAGGAAACTCAGGCTGGTTGACAACCTGGCAGTTTGATTCATAGCGTCAGCGCGTTGTATCAACAAGATCTAGAATTTCGATGCCGTAACAAAGGTTAACAATTCACGGAACGTGACGATAGTCCAAATACATATTATGAAGACGTGAGGTTTAGAAACAAACCTACGTGCCATATAACTTCCGATCGGCCGTGAGCAACTACTTGACTTGCTGATTTTACTCGTGTAAATATCTCAACATTGATAGTGCTGGTGATATTGAAATAATTATGTAAGGTCTAATAAAGTAATTAATTTATACCTAACGTATGAATTAAGAATTCATGTTCTTAATGTTAAGGTCTGCCTAACCTTAGTCTGCTGATTTAATACACAAAAGTTATCGTATCAGATACGGTCAACAGCAATGTAAACAGGTATAGCGGTCGGTCAAATCGCCGGCCCCCCTATGCTTGGCTTGCTTGCAAATAGCTTTGTATAATGTGATGCAATTGCGGAATAATCAGTCATTCCATATGTGAAATCTCCAGTTTGAATGGCTAGATTGTAAGGACTATGCCGCAATATGTTTGCCTGACTTTCACTGTTCCACCTCCATTGCCATATTTTTGGTGTTATAGACATTTTATTAATCTTAGGATGTATTGCGTTAGTATAACATTCACAAAAACACACTTTAATTTCTCGAAGTAATTTGACGTAAATTTCTGTATCATGATAATCGCACTTATGAACAGGACAGGTTTTTCCAGTTCCATAATGTATTATGAATACACAATTCACTGCCACGTGTTACGCTCTAAAAATATAATATGTTCAGCTGCAGGTTATGGTCTACTAGATTCAATTTTACACTCCAAGGTCCCGTAAATTCTGTACATGAACATTATTATTCATTTTTGCCGCATTACATTATATTTATCATAATTATAATATTCTTATAATATATGCAAAATTATTAACAATTGCATTGTAAGTTGAGTTTGCTTTGCTCTGAAAATCTAATTCGAAATCTCTTATCGTGAGGTAAATCTCAGCTTTTAATATTTTAAACGTGGCTATTGTTTTCTGTATCACTTCGTGTAAAATAGTGACTGTAATTGGTTATACTGGTATTATATTATAAAATCTCTACGAAGCGATTGCATAATACAAAAATCCGTATAGAAACGCCCAAAAATAACACAAAAAGTGGTTCATAGATTTTTGTATATTTATTAGTCTCGATCCTTTAAATGATTAGGTGATTATTATTTATACTTATCAGTGCCCCCAGATCTCTTATCCAGTTTTTTTAATATGACTCACTTTTTCTTGATTCATTTAAAAACCGGGGTCCACTTAGGTACTTACTTGAGTAAAAATTCCTAATGATTTTTTAGGTTAATTTAGTGTTTGAAAACTATGAATAAAGGTATCAGGATTAAATATTTACATAAATAATACATATTTCAATAAACCCCTAATGTATTACTAAATAAATTATCATTAATGTAAAGGAAAATTATAATAAACATTTATTTTTTTAATGATTGCTTATACCTAAATTGCAAATATTTGAACTAATGTAAGGTTTTTGTTAATTAATTAATTTTAATGTATTATTCATAATTTAATATTACCTACTGAGTGATTTTCATGCATCGAAAATTCCTGAATAACATGCAAAGTAGTTGACTTATTCGTGCTATTTATTTTTATCTGCAAATAACAACTTTTACGCATCTTCTAAGTTTTAACCTTGTACCAAGTATCTATTATAATTTTGTGTAGGTCATCATAGATTATATTGTCCTTATTTAATAATAATGTGGCATTCATGATTCACTATTTGCATAAAATTTGGAATAAATTTTATTTTTGAATTTAAATTTTTATGTGTTTTTTGTTCGTTATTCAGTCTTCTGACTACATAAGCATCATTATTTATTTATATAATAAGATGTATAATAGTTCATTTTTATTTGTTACAGATTTAATTAGTCGATAGAGAAACCTACCCAAAGATGGCTACCATATACAATTGGTACAGAGACCTAATGGACAATAGGAGTGGTAAGTATCTTATTATTATATTTTTTGTCGAAATGTCATTGTCATTTTACACATTCATTGTCTTTGACAAAACCTTCAAGTATTTGTTACGTATTGTTTATTTATCGAACATGTTATATAAAACATTTTGGCCATCAATAAATATTCAACGGTTGAACTTTAACATTTTTACAGTTGTAATGTACTTAAAAGATATTATTTTAAAACAAAATTTCATTTCGTAACTGTTGATGCGAAATGATTTTAAGTTGATTGAGGTGTTTTAACAAATCTTGTACGGAGTGTGAAGACAACGCGCATCGATCGTGTTTTGTCGAGTCTTAGAGTTTGCTCAATACATTACATAAGAACTGCGGAACGATTCACACTCAGGCGCAACCCCACTCCTGTAATGTTGCGCCTTCTCCGGCAGAAGTTATGTCAACTGCGCTGGCGACCTCGAAACCCATCAGTCTCGATTACTGAGCTACATACATATACTATGGAAAATACGCATCAACTTTTTGCATACTCTATTTCTTATAAGTTTACAAATTACTCACAACTTTTTAATTTACCGGACTTATCAACAATAAATCGCAATAGGTCATCGGTCCTAATGTTACCTAAATTAATTAGACGTATTTAACAAAAATGTAAAGCCTATTTCAAAGTCATTGCGAACAATTTGTATAGCTGTCAAACTAATTGAAATTGAATTAAAATGTTTGATACTTAATCAAACAGTTGAAAGTACTATAAGTATGTAGAATATTAATACTGCGTACAAATTCATCGTCGGTACGACGTACGAAGTCGTTTAATGGAATTCAGTAGCTACTTTAAAGTAAGGAAACTTAAACGTTTATGGTAATCGTATACAATTCGCATTAAAAAAACTAAGAGGTACTTCTATGTGTGTACGTAAACTTTATTAAGCTGTCAAAGTATAATTTAAATTAATTCTTATCATAAATCATCTTTTTTATTGCTTTAAAACTGAAACTTTGGTATATTAAAATTTAACATCATACAAGTAGGTACCTACTTACTTAGGAATAACCTTAATCGTAAAAAATACGGAAAACACAGATATCGAAAAATGTATGTAGGTGACACTTATCAGAATTGTATAATACTGCTATCAATATGAGTAACTGGCTGAACTTGAGATAGACCCAATTCCGTTATCACCTGATAATGATAACACAAGACATTCTCATTTCTCATTCGATAATGAATCATGAAGTAATTCCTAATCCGATAACAATACTTTCGTTTCCCTAAATAATTTCTTTAATGATAAAAACAATATTTTAAATAAAATAATAAATATAAATGACTCTTTATAATATTGTATGTAATTGAAAAATCACAAGTTCCTATGCACACAAGGAAAATTATAGCGAAGTACTTTGTAATATTTACATATATAGCTTATAACCAAAGTACACTCTGTCTTGGGCAAATGTTTGTATATTCATATTACTCTATTGATATTACTTATTTTTTCTTGTATAATTTTCCGAGCTCTCCTAGGAATAATGTGTAATTTATTTTCTAATGCTATTTGTTCTCACAGTTCACACAGTAAAATTGTAATTTATTTTATATGAATTTTATTTTCCATGAAGACATATGTTACTTATTAGGTTTGCCATCTAAAAAATGGCGGTTGATGATGTTTACTTTTTCAATTTCTAGATCCCCGTGTGAAGGACTGGCCGATGATGTCATCGCCATGGCCCACGCTAGCTGCTTGTGTCTGCTACGCGTACTGTTCGCGGGTGCTGGGCCCGAGGTTTATGGCGAATCGGAAGCCCTTCGAACTGCGCAGCGTGCTAGTCATTTACAACCTTGCACAAACAATATTCAGCGCCTGGATATTCTACGAGGTAAGGGTCCAATCCACCGTCTTGGGGTAAATAGCCTCACAGGGCAATATAACACGCACATCGGGCCAATGAACTTGGCAATCACTTGATATTAGAACTAACAGTTCCTTGGTCACGCAACTTAAGTGTTTATATTCAATTTTTTATGTTAAGGCGGTGACGACCATATGAACTTTCCAACCTGCCCATAAATTTACGTCGTTTGACCGCCCTTTTCATATTTTTATTTTATATCCTTGCATCTCACTGGAATTTTGCTTCGAGAATATATTGCTTGTTAAAATACATTTAATTAATGCGGAAAATACGTCAGCAAAAACCCCGATGTTTGCGTGGTTCTTTTAGTAATGTGTTGTTTTTATTTTTTATTCACAGTACTTGATGAGCGGCTGGTGGGGTCAATATAACTTTACGTGTCAACTTGTCGACTATTCCCGAAGCCCAATGGCTATGAGGGTAAGTTCGTTATTCCTGATTTTCTCTAGAAAATGGTAGTTTATGTATTTTGTTACGTTGTATGCTGTTAGAAAGACTATACTCGTAATATGACAAAAAAGATAACCTTATTTAGACACATCACCATCATTACCAATTTTAAAAACTTTAAAAATATAATCCATTGTAAAAAAACTCAATAAATACAATAGGAATATAAAAAATCGTTTATAAAGAATATAAGTTAGCGTACTTTTTGTTGCTTGTTTGTCTTTACCATAAAAAGTTATATTTTCGACTATGAATCGTCATAATTACTTGTTTATACGAAACAATCGCGCATCTAGTATTTTTTATTAAAGTACCTAAGTACCACCATTATCACTACCCCATAAAAAATGTGTTTGTAGAAATTATACCTACCTATGTATTAAAATCTCATAAGGTAAATAACCGCGATAATGTCCAGAAGAGCCTCTTTAATCACCAGTAGAAGATAATAAACAAAATAAAATAAACTTAAATTGCTTTTAAATCTCACGTTAGAGATAACGAAATCCGGTATATAATATGTAAAACTTAAAAGACGTTCTCACACTCATAATAATTTTTGCGTACATATTGCAGACTAGCTACTCTCGCGCGGTTTCACCCGCTGCTCGGCTCCATTTGATCGTAGCGTGATGTTTTATAGCCTATACAACTCAGGAACATTGTAGCTATCTATCAGTGTAAGAATTTTGGCAATCCGACCAGCGCTTCCAAAGATAACCCCCTACATACAAACTTAATTTTACCACTTTATAATATTAGTATAGATAAACCTGATAAGTAATACCATCGTTTTATTTTACATCTTTAGAAATACAGAAATGTAAAATGAACCAAGGTAATAAATAATACTTCCGTCTTTGACCTGATAATTAGAAACATCTACATACAAAATAATGTTATAGTGTCAACATAAGTTTTACGAACGCAAATGACGCAAGAAGGACACATTCATTAGCGATTCCCTCTACCTTTGCTTGCTCAACCATTAAAATCATGTAAAAAAACAATAGTAATTATTATTAATGTTTAAATAAGTACCTAAATAGCATTTTACTTAAGTAAATGACAAATACGTATCGGCGACTGTGTGATTAACCTTACTTATTACGCACGCGATAAGCAAATCGTATATCACAATGTTGTTTACGTTTTATAAGTTAGGCAGGATCAATAGCTTCTGTGTAAACTGTAATAAACGATACACTAGTATATGACCTAGATATGTATATATAATATATTAGTATTGCATTTCCACGCCCACCCAAATATTTATTGAACCGATTCATTACCAATATTTTTATTTCCCAATAAAAAATCATAAATAATTTCAATCCACGTTGCGCGTTTTGTTCGTATAAATTGCTAAATAGTGACAAAAAATTAAGCTTAACTTGTTCTATGATGATTATATTTTTTATACTTAATGATCATTATAAGAAAATACAAGCAACTTGAAATATTAATACCATGTTATGAATAAAATCTTAACAAAAAATATGAAATTACGCACTGACCCACGGTAATTTAATGTTAAAATTATCAACGTTAATTTTACTCCTAAGAACTTATAGATAAAGTTGAAATTACGAAGTAAATGCGCACTGGTTCATTTTCAGTTTGTGTTCAATTGTGATTTTTAATTTTGGTAATGTTTAATATTCCACGGAGGGTATTAAACCCATGTCCTGTTACACAAAGATAACATTTTAATTCTTTAAAAAGCGTTTCTGCCTGACGTTGCTGTCTTCCATGGATGTCCGTCCTACTAACCAATTATATTATTAATGTTCAGATGGCGAACACATGCTGGTGGTACTACTTCAGCAAGTTCACGGAATTCATGGACACGCTTTTCTTCGTGCTGCGCAAGAAAAACGAACACGTGTCTACTCTGCATGTGATACACCACGGCATCATGCCCATGTCCGTGTGGTTCGGACTCAAATTTGCACCAGGTCAGTTACTAACTATTCTTTCTCCATCTTAACGGGCTACACTTGCGTTGTTCAATAGCTTTGTTGTTTGCTATGTTAGAGTGTGTTTAATTTTTTGAAATAGTCGAGGATGGCCACTAAATGTAGTCCAAACATAATGTAATCGGATTGTGTTGAAGGCCTTTAAAATTTGGTATCAAACTAGCCTTTAGCTTGTAGTTTAGGTGGGTATTTAGCAGTTGGGGCCTACAATAGGCCAGACTTGAGGCGCGAAGCAAATAAAACAAAAACTTTTTTCACTATCTAATCAATCTCGTAAGTTCCATTCTGTCAAAGAACGCTCTCAATATACTATTTTTATGGTTAGAAAATCATCTAATGTCTTTTCCCGCCCCTGCCCTGGTGGGAGGAAAGTTGGTGTCAGATTTTGCGTTCTAAAATTCAAAACTATTCCTCTTCCTACGCCGAACCCATCTACGGTACATCATTGTGTTTGCACCTGCAACCCTTTTTTCATTTAGGCTAAACAATTGGCGCCAACTACACAAACTGAGATTTGTATGTCACAAAGCATTGTCTTTCAAGTGCATTACAGCGTCGGGGAACAAAGCCGTAAACAACTATTCCAGCTGAAACCAAAATAATCATTTTGATACAAAACAAAGGTCATTCAACCTACTTAAACAATATTAGAAAGCAGGAAGCTACGTTAATATGTATCAAATCAGATCGACTAGACTTTCAGGGTACCAGATTAACCTTGTCCATGTAACTGTAAATACAACACGCGTAGGTATTGGCTACTTTTGGGGTCACTGAGGTCGTATATTTAAATATCAAATGTACACAGTTTGAATTGGTCTACAAAAGTGTTAGTGAGTATATTGTTGTAGGAGTATTCAGTTAAAATTAAATAAAAGACACGAATTTTTGGTTTTCATTTCCAGCTTAACTAGCTAAGTTGTCATAGTAATATGGTATAAATCTACCACTCGTTAACAACAGAGAAATCAATTTAAATAAATAAAACACGGTTAAATTGTCTAAATTACTATGTTTGATAATAATGTAAAATGGGAACACGCGACTCTGGCCCTAATAGTCAAGGGATTAAAGCCATAATTAACTAATGGGCGTTAAACATACCTTAATTACAATTAACATACGTCATTCTCGTACGTCAGATAGGAATATTATTCATACGGGGAAACGATAATACAACATTCCTCGACCACATTCGATATTTCATGAAATATGTTAATAATCTTTGCAGTACAATAACACATTGTTTATTCTAATACTCGTCTATAAATTCTTCGAATTCTTCAAGTAACAACTAAATCCACATAAATAAATCGAAGCAAACAATCCATATAAATTAACACGCAATCTAACGCAACTAAGTTTAAGAGATTTTTAAAAAAATTGTTGTTCGTTCAAAATTTCGGCGACAGACATAGGTATGATAGAATGCATGGTCGCCTTCTTGTCTAAAAGATTCGAAATGAAATTAGGTCAATGCGTGGTCAACACACATTACTTTTACAACATGCATTCCAAGCACGCACTTGCCGCAATTGAGCTCAAAGTTATAGCAACATTGTATTCAAATGCACACCAAGAGTTCACCATTTACTACTGTTTTAATATAATAGAGTGGTTTAGGTGAACGCGGCTTCGTTTGATCCTTATCTTAATGACATCATAATGCAATTATTTAAATATTTGTACGTAAACACCATGTTAAGCGTTTTAGGGACACGGCGCGCACGAAATGTGTCACATGTAGCTGTAGTAGATTATAGTTAATGTTTATATAGATAAATATTATATAATTTAATACCGTAATTTGGATTAGTACTAGGGTCAGTTCAGCATACAGGATTGCAAGAGTAAAAACCCAAAATCTGCAATCACTAAGTGACTAATCTATTGTGCCATAATGACGTATTCACCAAAGTTATGAGATAACTTTAAGTTAAGGCGTAAATTACTTAAAAGCACTCGAAACTTTTATTTCTTTGTAATGTTCTCAGAAATCGTAATGGCGTGGAATTTTTCGCCAGAAAAACTGTTCTGTAAAATATTTGTCCATCTCCTACGTAAGGTACTATAAATTGTGTACATAACACAAGCTGAGTAGATACCAAAGGTCTCTATTTTATATTAATATTCATGCGGTAATCATAGATATCTTTACAAATACATCCTTAACAGAATTTCGGAGGTTCGTAAATTGACAAATATAGGAAATATTTGCACATTAAAGCCTCTTTAGCATTAATAAACCAACGTTTGTAACTTCCTTGTGTATCTTCCTTGCCTACGACCAAGGTTTCTTAGATTACTTAAATTATAACTTAAAAGAGTCCATATTAATATAATAATGAAATAGTTATTTATAGGAATTTTATTGGTTTCTTTCAATTACATAATAATCTCATAATTTAAGTAGCTAACCTTGGTTGCCAAATTAATCGATTCTATTTTTGGAGTTTCTTACAACTTTAAGAGTGTCACTTCCGAAATCAGTTCTCCGTATTCGGTAAATCTGGAAATTTAAGTGGAAATATTCAATTAAGTATAGGTGATTGATAACGAAAATTCCAAGGTACGCAATTTTGACGTTTTTGGATTCGCAAGGATCATATCCAAATTCATGATTTCTAATTAGGAAAAGGTTACGAAAGGTGTTTTTGTGTTTTATATAATAGTGTCCTCAATTTCGGAATGGCAATGGGGCACCATATCGAACACCATAAATAAAGAAGTTATGTCGCAATAAATTTAATTGTTGCCGCTTTAGATGTTAGAAAAATTAACTTAAGGTATAATGAGGCGGTATCAATGAATTAGCGAATACATCCGTAAATAAAAGACTTAAAGGAAAACGATAATTTGTCAAACAAACAATACAGTACTTTGTTTGCGTGAAGCTTTTATACTGACGTTATTCAAATCCGTGTTTCGTTTATTTACCTAAATTATCTATACCCTATTAGATCACGTACTGATGTGAACATGACGTATTAGTGTTAACAGAGAATGTCACTTTTTTGTATTTATTTGCTTCTGTCGTCGTGTGAATTGCGTCTTAGATACGTAGGATTACCAAAAACATGATTATGAGATCTTTTTGATTCCTTAAGTAAGCATAAACAAGTACCTACAGTGTAAGAAGAATGTCCAATTAATGTTGGGACACAATGTTCAGAAAAATGAACAACGAAGTAACACGTCATAAAAATATATCCACAGAAAATTCTATTGCAATGTATTTTAACACATTTTCATTTTAAAATTTTTGAAAAAATAATATTTGCTTAATAATTAAACCGTATATTTATATCGACAGGTGGTCACAGCACATTCTTTGCCCTACTCAACACGTTCGTCCATATCGTGATGTATTTCTACTACATGGTGGCTGCTATGGGTCCCAAGTACCAGAAATACATCTGGTGGAAGAAGTACCTCACTGCCTTCCAGATGGTAAGTATTTTAAACAATATTAAAAACGCAATCAATCTAAAGTACAATTGTATAGTAATTTTATTTATTTATTTTAAATTCATCAAATGACTTCTCCTGCCCAGGGTGACCACGCCCAATATCGGCCCTGTAGGGCCACTCTGTGGTAGTCTATTTATTAGCTCTTTGAGGGACATTAAACCGCCACTTCGTACTCTTTCATGATTTAAAAGTATAGGTCTGGTTCACATACAACAAAACCGGCTCAAAAAAATAATTATGCATCTTCCGTATATTTAAATCCTTTCCGTAACGATTATTCATTCAAAAGTCATATTAGAACTGAAATATTAATGTAACAAGTTCCGGGTTTTCCTCTAATGGCTTTGCTTATATTGATATTAGTATGAAAAAGTGACTGAAGATGCAAATAGGTGAGAACATGAAAGTAAACATTGCTGGTTTTTACAATAAAATCAACCACTGACATTATGTACTATGTAGGTGTATATATGTATAGTCTGGATGACTCGTGACTATTGTGATGATATCTAATAGAATGTAATCCAACAGGTCCAGTTCGTGATGATCTTCACTCACCAGCTGCAAGTACTGTTCCGGCCGTCGTGCCAGTACCCTCGCGTATTCGTCTACTGGATCGCGATGCACGGATTCCTGTTCCTGTTCCTCTTCAGCGACTTCTACAAGGCGAGGTACACCAAGACCGACAGGAAAGCACGCAACAACGGACTTTGTATGGTGAGTGAACCTCTAACATTATTAATTCAATGTTAATAAGAAAGTCAAATAGCACACGCGATAATAAACAGCGTGCTTCCGTGTCTAGTAGGAGAGGTACAAGTACATAAAAGCATGCTTTTCAAATTATTAGATGTTTCTGACGTCTTTACTTGTTTTAAAATCAAATTATGGTTTTCTGAGAAATCTTAAGAGCTAGCTTAGTACATCCTATCATCTGGTGTGTATAGCCAAAGTGTTTTTGCACCCTGATGTTTGTAAGACAGTCACGCATGTAAATTTGCAATTACCACATCGGGATTATTTGTCGAGCACTTCAGGACGCGGTGCGAACGGACCTCGTTCAGATTCGTGCGTCATTACACGAGTGGATGTTGACATTGACGGGCTGTGACTAGTGAATGTTGACATATTATAATGTATTGTCCCGTTTCAGACCGTCATGGATGACAGCAGCAGTTCGCTGAACGGCAAGAACGGGTACAAGCAGGAGGTGGAGCCCGAGGTGCCCAGCTCGTACGCGTCGTCCGGCGCGGACGCCTTCGTGCGGCGCCGGCCCGTGTCATAGTGCCGCTAGTGCCACAGGCCGCACTGTGTTCTAATGTTACAAAGACCATCTCGAACCTTCCACGTTAGTGTCCATCCGCCGCTCACCTGAGACTGATGTTTTACACTACGAGACTGTCTGTGTAAGTCGCTCGTGCAAGATGCGACGTGAGTGCATAGTGCGCTGACCCCGGCCCGTCCGGCTGGCCCGTCGTCGCGGTCGAATAATGTTTCAGACTATATTTCTACAATGAATTTAGATATAAACATTATTACTTCTATAAAGTTTGTTGATGCACAAAGTCACTATTTTGGATCTTGCTTGGATTGTCTGCCTTGTAATTGTTTTAAGTACAAAGTATGATTATTGAAAATTTCTATAAACTGTTGAAAATCAAAGTCTCGATTGATGTGAAATCTAGTCGCGTTTAGGCGATGTGTTGTTTTCCTCTAGTTAACAGAAAGCGAGGGTCAGTCATCGCAGTCAATAAATTATGACAACAATTATTGATCAGGTTATTTTTGTCACAATAAATATTGGTACATTCTCGAAAGGCGAAAGTGAGATGGGCATTTTGTATTATGTATATATTTTATTATTTTAAAATTAAACTTAGTTATGGATGGTATCATGTGTAACGAGGTGTATTAAAGGTTAAAGGTTAATTTTTGTAAATATATTTTAATTATTAGATGCTAATTAAAACAATAAATAATTATGTTACCATAAATTTGTTAGATATATCCAGTGTAGATTTACGAACAGCAGTTATTTTCTGCCTCCTGTGCCCTGTGCTCAAGTACCTCATACTTCCGCATGAAACCTTTACATAATTAACTCGTTGAAACATTCACGAATGAGAACAATGTGAACAAAATGACATAACCTGTGGTTATGCATATTGAACTTTTCGATTTACTTTTGATATGTTTGTAACTTTCTTGTGAGGTTCGGAGACTGTGCACAATACTTTGCAGTAGAAATTATCGCAGCGACGAGCATTACGTTAGGTATTTGAAGTACTGTGTGTGTCATGTATGTGGTCGAGGATTTGAGATGTAGTTACGGTAGCTAGTTAGTAAGAAAGTATGTGCACAGTCTCTGGGCGACGAGTCATCACGATACTGTTTAAGTATTATTTTGTATCAAGTTCTGGTATTACGATGCTTTAAGTGTTGTGCAATGTGGAGTGCCGGTTGCTTACATCGCAGGCGGGCGAGTCCGCGCGACACAACAGTCTGCTCAAGTAATTGCTGCGAGTACACTCTTTTGCAAGTTTATTTATTACTTTAATAAAGGATTTTACAATTGATTTTGTATTTTATTTTCAAACCTAATAATTGATCGCACGCTAGTTGTAAGTATTTAATATTTATACGCACGTATTCTATGCCTCAGTTTTGATTGCCTTATCAACAAGAAACTCTATTACTACAAATAATGTTAGAAATCGTAAAAAAAATTTGGTAATGGGTACCTAATGTAGGTACTTCAAAATATGGGCGAGCAATTCGTCGACACAAATTAACCAGATCGACCGGAGTGAAAATTCGGCCCCAAAAAACATCAGCCCAAAACACGGCAATTCATTATGTTTCGTCTTGAGAGTGAGGTTACCAAAAGCCTAATCTTTCCTCACCATCCCCAATCCACTAATCTTCCAACTCACAAAAGTCCGTCAACGACAACCTCAACCTGTAACTGTTTTGGTGTCTATGGGCGACGCTGATTACTTCCCATCAATTGATCTGTGTTTGAGGACTAACCAATTCCATAAAAAACACTTACCTGCATAAGATTCAGCGATCTCGATGAAGTCAAAAAAATAAGTTCTAAATAAAGGTACAAAACTCGTATTTTTCGATACATGTAAGTGGGCTTAAGCAGCTCACTCTAAATGTGGTATTCCCAAATTGCTGGCCGGTGAAGCGGTCAAGGACCTGGGCCAAAATTTTGAAAATGTCGGTAATGAATTAAAATCGGCGACGACGACCGGTAATATCCATGAGTGTTAGATGAAGTTCCAGGGAAGGTGTAGATACTCCGATAAGAATGTCCTATGTCATGCCTGGTCTGTGTTCCTAACTCCTTGTTTGATTGTCAACTTAAGACTAGTCTGTATAGAATGAAAAACATACATAGATAATAGTTGGTTCTCGCCGTTCGCTCTATTCCGATTAATTAGTGAATATCGAATCTAAAAATACCTTTCTCCATGTGTCGTAGACGGGAGAATGTCTTCATAATAACAGAATTTTTCTGTTCAAAATTATAATTTTACCCAACAGGACACTTTTACTTACTATAAAGTAGAAAAGTTCAAAATATCTGCTTAGTTAATTAGGACTTAATTCAAGTTCTTGGTAACTACTGAAGTTAAAAAATTAATCGATTTAATTAACATAGGTATTATATTAAAATGTTAAAGTAAAAAAAAGTAACAGGTGGTTAGCCACACAACTTATTTGAAAACTAATACTAATAATAGTTTTTAAATAACCGGAATAAGCAAATTGTACCTACCAACCTACTTAGATAGAGCGACAAAACAATCCGACGTAGGTACAAGATTATATTAATTAAATACTGGTCATTTCTATGATGATTGATTTATTAACTTTAACTCATAAAACTGATAATAAACAACAATAATGTACCTACATGTACAAATGAGTGTTTTCAGAATAAATTCCAACACCTGTTTTACTTTACGCGTCCATAATGATGGTGTCCAAGGACATATCTGGGTAAATGTCTATGTTTATATACAGCTGCCTAAGTACCTACGTTGCCCAATGGAGCAATCATTCACAAATAATATTATTATACTGACTTTAGCCGACCCCCAAGTATTTTGCACGGTAACGTTACGCCATACTACGAAAATTATTAGGAATTACTAGCTTAGTGTCCTTTGCGAGTAACTATCGCTGTTGTAGCATTTGCGTAGCACAACATTAGATACCCACATAATATTTTAAGGTACCTTAATCATTCATTCTCCTAAACAAGACAGACTCTGGTTCTTGGTGTGAAAAAAGAACCAAAATTGCTAGATGTACAGTTACTAGCCGGGGTCACAGGTGAAGTGCTAGGTATATGGTACCTACCTACGGCGGCTTCGGTCTGGAGCAAGAGAAGAAACGGGGGGACTTTTAGTTAGTAAGAGCCTGACACTCCCTCTCTCCAAACGCGAGAAGTGATTTAATGATTTCCCTTTAAACAAAAAAAGATGTAGGTAGCTGTTCGTCTGTAGCAGTAAAAAGGTTAGGAAGACTCCTTACCATTTTACAGAACCATAACATTTTGCATAACTGCTGAATAAAACTACTAAACTAATATCTGATGTAGGTCGCTACGTCTTAATTACACGTAAGTAGGTACAGCTACTTAAAAAATATGTTTTGGAATGAAACGTCAGACTATTTATGTGTGTTCCTTTCCACTCACGGGACCACAGGGTCCCGGACTTTCGGGCACGCTACCATAGCAGCGGTAAGACCCCTCTTTGAGGAGTGGCTTGAGAGACGCCACGGCGTCCTCACCTTCCGTCTGACGCAGGTGCTTACCGGGCACGGCAGCTTCGGTAGGTTCCTGTTTCGGATTCAGCGGGAGGAAACGCCCGAGTGTCGTCATTGTGAGGACCACCTAGAGGATACGGTGGAGCATACGGTAGCGGTATGCCCTGCCTGGGTTGAGCACCGCCGTATCCTCAGGGAAGTGATCGGCGGCGGCGACCTCTCGCGCCCGGCCTTAGTCGAGGCCATGGTGCGGAGTGAGAGGAACTGGGACGCCGTCTCCTCCTTTTGTGAAGCAGTCATGCTCGCAAAGAGAGAGGCGGCCCGCGTGAGGGAGCAATCCTCCTCCTCACGCCCCAGCAGCCGCAACTGGCGACACTACGGGCGTCGGGGATCGAGGGACGATCTCCGGCCACCGTAAGTACGGGCCTGCGGTCGGCGAGTAAGGGCAGCTCGCCGCCCGACCAGAACCAGGCCCGAGCGTACGGCGCGTAGCGTTCCGCGCGCGCCTCAAAGAGCCAATAGACCACCACAGACGGGGCCCTAAAGGGCTGATGTTCAGCCGGGGTTGCGGGGTAAGCGCAATGAGGTACCGCGACCTCGGCACAGAGCAGGAGAAGGAACAGGGGGGTTTTTAGTCAGTAAGAGTCTGACACTCCCTCCTGCCCGGCCCTGGGCGGGAGAAGTCATTTGATGATTTCCCCTCACAAACCAAAAAAAAAAAAAAAGGGTAAGGGTTATGGATATGGGTTGCTATGGACTGGTGAATATGATAACTATGGAAATACTATGGCCCCTGCCCCTGACCAATATTGATACATACGGATAAACAGGCAGGGGGTGACTGGCAAACTCAATTAATGGGCCCCCGGAAACGGCCGCTAGCATGTAGCGACAAGGGGGCAACATACGTTGAGCTGCTTGGGGAAGGAGAGGTATCCCACGGCTATCAGAGCAATCCCGGAAGTACGGTCAAGACCCCTACCAGCATCTTACTGAGATACATCCTTCCCCCGAGTCTCCTTCAACTCCTACTCTTGCGAATCTCCACTCAAGCCAGCCAATTAAGGCAAGAATGAGGTAGGAGGGCTTGTTCTGCATCAGTGTTCACTCCAGCTCGTCACGAGGACTAACCGGAGAGAGAAGAACAAGACACCTCCCGGGAGTCAGGTCCGTGGGGTCGCCACTGCCCAACAGCTCGCCACAAGCTGCCTTGCGGATCTATTTATGTTATTATTATGTTAGCACAAATAACCATAATAGTAACTTGGTGATCGTAGTATTTATAAAGGCCCTCTCTCATAAATATAAGAGAATTCTACTAATCTTAATATGCAACAATACAGAGATTTCAATGGACACCGACTAGCTAGGTACAAACCTTAAGAATTACTGGTCAACCTAGAACCACAAAGTTGAAGTTGTTCTTTCATTATTACTTCACGTTGTAAAACACGTTTGAATAAACAGTAGAATAGATGTGTATTGAAATAGATACCAGGTTCTTAGAAGTAGGTCCATAGGCATCATTATAACGACTTTATGAGACTAGAAAACCTGAGATAATATTGTAACTCCGACTATCCACATCATACACCACCGTTTACATATGACATTTTCATCAAACGTAGTATTATTAAAATTATACGAAAGCACTGAAGTTTTTGCTAATAAACGACTGAGCTCATCAGAGATATCTGCTTTTTTATCAAACTTAATATTCAAGAGCTTCGCAAACACTAATCTAAACCTTAAAATTGATTGGTTTGTTATAAGTGAGTGTTGAAGTTAGTACGTACCTTCCTTGTTACGTAAGGAGATTCATAGAGTTAAGAAAATACAATGTTCTCCTTTTCGGTTTGATCATGGCGCTGCGCTCCAAGGCAAAAGTAACTATGCAGAATTTGAAGCGCATTAGTAG